CTAATTAGGGAGCTGTAGTGCACTGCCTCTGGTTTCCTCAACTCTGGCTAATACACAATTTTTCTTACTTCCTCCCTCACCCCTTCTGGGGTGTGCTGCCTGGAGCACAATGTCATTGAAGAATTTATGCCTCTGCTGCCTGCAAGACAACTACCTCCACCTCCGGCAACTACCCTCCAACCTGCCTGCCCTTAGCTCAACACGATGCCTCGCCATCCTTCCCTGCTGCTGTGCCTCTATTAATCCTGCCATCGTGCATCAAGCACCACGTGCCTGCACCGGTCGGCCGCTGCATTGAGACTGATATTTCAACCCCTGTATTAGCTTAGTCATTTCATCTTGTTTGTTTGACTCCTCTGCCGGCCCCTGGAGGATGGGCTCCCCCTTGGGTCTGGTTCCTCCCAAGGTTTCTTCCTCTTAGGGAGTTTTTCCTTGCCACCGTTGCCTTTGGCTTACTCAATGGGGGGTCCTTACGAGGCAGAAATGTAAAGCGCATTGAGACAATGTAATGTTGTGATAATGCGCTATACAGTATAAATAAAATTGAATTGAATTGAATTGAACCAGGGGTGTAGTTAGAGATGAATGAATAGGGGGGCTTTATTAGGGGAAGCTGATGGCAAACTATTCATGACTTTAGCCATTAAATGCTAATTTATCTGGAGGGGGCTAAAAGACATTTAGGGGGGCTAAAGCCCCCAAAAAATGGGCCTAATGACACCCCTGACTAGCACACAGGAGCACTTTGGTTTTTTCATTTCTTCTATGATAGTGAATCTTGAGGTCAGAGTGCGGGGTCAGCATGGGAGTAATTTATGGGGGGGGGTGGTATGTTGTCATGGTGAATATGTGGGGACCTCAACCCCCCCAGTGTTCCATCCACAGTCACGCCCTTGAGGGTCAGCCATATTCCCAGGGTCCCTGGGGTCATTTTGGGGGTAAAGGGCCCTGCTCAAGGACCCAGACACCCAACCCACAACATGTAAATGTGCACATATAAACTGTCCAAGGACCCAGACACCCAACCCACAACATGTAAATGTGCACATATAAACTGTCCAAGGACCCAGACACCCAACCCACAATGTGTAAATGTGCACATATAAACTGTCCAAACTGGAATACACCTCCAATGTAGACAATTAAACTGGCCACAGAATGTGCATTCAGGATTGGCCAAGTGCCACATTACGACTGGCATTTAAAATGTGCCATAATCGGTTCTAAGACCATTCTCTCTTATTTAATTACATATTATAACAGAGAAAATTATATTACTGAACCATCACTTATACATGGGTGATTCCTGTTTTGGGCCACATATTCATGTCCTCGTGTTTAACTGGCTCTTATTCTTTTATAAAATTAGACAATCTTTATAACAAAACTATTTTATTATGTGTTTAGGTGTTTTCTATTGCTCTAACAAAGATAAATTATTTTTATCTTTTTACATTTCTTTAAAGCACCATTTATCTGGAATAGGCGCTCATTTTAGCATATCCCAAATGCAATGTATTCAACTTCCTCAGTAAATATAAAGTATAAAATTCTTTATTATTTTGATAGACTAGGGTATATACTACCTTTAGAGAAAGAAACAAATCTGGTGAAACTTATTTTGTTTTCTGTAATTATATAATATATTATATGTCCCCGCATTCATTTTCCACCCCGTGAGCCAGTCTATAGTTTCTTGGCTCCCTAAAAAAATTACAAATCCATACAACCATTTCCAGGAAGTGACATCATTTGTTTTGGGGGGAAATTCAACTGGAAGACTAAGGTAAGCTTTAACTGTCACTCTCTCCTGTATTTTTCACAATTTTATATTACACACCGGTTTGAGGCACCCTTAAAGTTCCACCCTGTTAGTATTTATAATGGGAAATATTTATTGGAAAAAAGATTTTTTAAAACATCTTAAAAATAGCTATTTAAATGCTGATCAGCTGTAGAGTGTGTGCTAGCTAAATGTTGCTCACTCAAAGAGCTAGAGCTAAATTAGCTAGAAATATTCCACCCTGTTAGGTTCCTCCCCGATAGGCTATGTATGGGATATGCAGCCTACTGAGTAGAAATTGTACAAGAATATTTATTATTTTCATTAAAATGACTTGTAGATTTATTATTTGAGTGTATTTCTTGTGTATGATAATGAATAACAATGGTATAATCAAAAAGTATTATTATTATTTTATGAGTATATTTCTTAATTATTTATGTTACTACAGTGGTATTATTATTATTTTTATTATTACTATTATTAGTTGTAGTAGTAGTATTGTTGTTGTGAATCTGAATCTACTTGTTAAGAGGCCTACTCTGTTCCACCCTGTTATATTCTATTAGACAATGATTTAAAAAAATATTCTAATCACAACAGTAAGTGTTTGGTATATTTGTATATTGTTTTGTTAAATGAGGTACATATAATGCATCTACGTATACTTTTATTTCTAATTAATACAATTACTCATACAAGACAACAAAATGGGGACCAAAAATGCACAGATTATATTATTCTGACATTGTACTATTCATAAAATTAAAACTGTTAATGCTACAAGAATGAAACTTTTATCATAGCAAAAGGGACACATTGTATCCCAGAAAAGTTCAGTATTGTTTGACTTGTACATTATTTAAACTCTGTGATTACCATGTACATGTCCCTAACAGGGTGGAAAATGTCTAGAGAAATATATACAAAAAACATCCCATAATTATAATATTTTCAACCCCTGAGCTTGGCAAACATGCATTCCTCATAGCTAAGTATGGTATAGTCCTGACAAAATGTTTAAACTATAAAATACAATCATTCCAATTTTCAGAAAACAGACAGCCAGATATGTGGTCCAAAACAGGAATCAGCCACATGTATATTCTTCATACTGCATTTAAAAACTAAATGTTTAATTTCCACATCTGACTGCTGCTGTAAATATTTTTATCAAATACATATTTGCTGTTGTGATAAATTGTCAGCCAGCAATAAATATTCATAGACAGAAATAGCTATAGGCTACAAAACATATTTGCACAAAAATGGCACAATGTGTATGTATTGGGTTGAAATGGAGTGCGCGTCCCTTTAAAGACGAGCCTGTCTGTGTGTAATAGCTGGTGATAATTGGGCGCCGCTCCGTTAAAGGTATGTATGTCTAAACAGGGATACCCTGTGATCGTACTTTGTGATCAGACGTTCTAAGCTTTCCCTGTGAGCTAGGGCGCAGTTTGGAGTGCTGCTTCGGAAGCATTCAGAGACTGTGTCCGGAATTAGAACGCTCTCGTGCTGAACAGCGAGTGTTGCGTGGCCTCGTTGTTATCTGCTGGTATGTAGCCTCCTAATCAATGTGATGTTTACGTTAATCGGGCCCTGATTGACTTCGTACTGCCTATACCAATAGGCTATCTTGTTTGGTCATTCCCCGTATGAGCGGAGGAATTCCTTCTTCCGGACTTGTGGCATGTGGCTACGTTAACTCCTTTTTCTAATTTTGTCGCTTTTTTGAAAACTAGTCGCCAGAGAGAACTAAAAACTCGCTAAATATAGCGACAAAGTCGCTAAGTTGGCAACACTGCTTGCTCGCTCGGCGTTAAAATAGTGCCAAAAGTCGAACCACGCGCGCAAGTGCGCTCGCGAGCTAAAAACCCATCCTCTCTACGCGCTCGCATCTGTACAGCCCTCGCTCGTTCGACAAGATGAATTTTGACACTTTGGAGGCGGGAACAGTGCCTAATATCTTCGCTCCTTTGATTGTTTTTTTAAAATATTGACTACGATTGGCTATTTGCTTTGGTAGAAAAGATGATCATAACTTGAATATAATGGGAAACAAAGGGGTGTTAAAATTCATCTTGTCGAGCGAGCGAGTGCTGTGCAGACGCGAGCGCGTAGAGAGGATGGGTTTTTAGCTCGCTGCGCTTGAGTTTTTGTACTAATTTAACGCCCTAAGCTTAACCTTTACAGTATTTATGTGTCTCTTGCACATTATATTTTTCCACAGGTTGTAAGCTGCCAGTTACTGATTAGACCTGCTTCCTGGGCACCGGTTGATGCTGTGCTGCTATTTTGTTTCGAGCATTCTGACGTTGTGCGCGTCGTCGCTCCTGTGCTCACTGGCTCGTGTGGCTCCGCGTGTGCGGCCCGGTCATCAGAGCGGAACTAACTCTGTGTGTCTTGTATTTTTCGTTTGGATCATTGGTTCGTTGCTTTTTATTGATTTTTTTTATGGTTGCGTTTTTTTTTCTTTGTAAACCACACCAGTGGCTAGTCTGCCGCAATGCGTGTACATGTATTACGATGTAACTTTGCCTTAACATTTCCTGTGCGTATTACTTGAGTGCCGTGTGTGTGTGTGTGTGTGTGTGTGTGTGTGTGTGCGCTGAGGAATTCCTGTGATTGGTGTGACTACAATACTACCTGTGAATTTATCTGTACCTGCCCGGCCTGAGTTACTGGCCAGACTGGTGTGTTTGTGTAGTATGTGGACCCATCCTGATAAGCCTCATTCTGGTTAATTATGTTAGGGGCAGTGTTCCACCCCCCAGTAGGAACCAGTAGTGGGTTTGCATTGGCCATTGAAAATGAAGTAAAGGAGCTATTTAGTTAGTTTATTTGTCATCCCTGTTGGGTACAGTGTGAAAATAATACATTTTATTAGTTTTTTAGAATCCTGTCTCTGCTTCATTGTGGCAATGAATCTGTGAGCCTCACCTGTGCATAGGGTGAAGGTAAAATGCGGACTGTTTACAAACAATGGATTTTATGTTTATTAACAGATGTGTCGCAAAAGACGCACGCCGCGTAGACCGTTCACATGGCATAGAAAGAAACCCATACGACGTTACCTGATCACGGGGTGTGTTCGAGGTGTGTCTGCAGCTGACGTGACGTGGACCGCATTGCTGAGCTCCTCGAAGGCTCTTTTGTTTACGTCCGGCGGAATCCGCATTTTACCCTCACCACTGTGCATATGTAGAGTATGTGTGTAGATAGTGCACTGAGTTAATTCCTATTTGGTAGCTGTCCCCTAGGTGGCGTAGTCGACATATTCCAGTCTTTACCCTTGTGCCACTACATGTATATTTATAATTCTTAATATTTGTTCCTTTTTCCTAATTGTGCGAGAGGCAAACTTGAGAGCGAACAAGAGTTGACTAAGCTTCATACAAAGCCCCTCCCACCAAGAGTGGGTGGATGGGATAAATGGACAGTTTTGGTTTCATCGCGTTTCACTGTGGAACTGACTGTCAGGAATCAAGATGGGCAGCTTCTCTGTGATCGCTGTGTTCCTGCTTCTTCTGCTGGTGGTGAGAGGACAGTCCACAACAGGTAAATTATGTCTTAGGGGACGGGGAAGAAAGAGAACTGATTGCTACTCCATGATAGAATAATGAACAGTCCTGAGACATTATTTGACTCACAATTGCTGTTGAAAAATTGACTGTGGTGCAGCTTAGACTGTAATTTACTTCTGTGGTTCTCAGTCCACTTCTTAGGCAAACTCATCTTAATTAGATAACTAGTTACTTGTGTCCCTTCCTGCCCACCATGTCCTCGTGACCCCCCTGTCTCCTCCCCAGCATGGCCCTAACAAGCCTTACCTGTTACTCATTTGTCTTGCCTCTCATTCCTAACCCTCATGTTAATCACCTTCAGCTGCCGCTCCATAGCCTCCGTTTAGTTCCACGGCCTGTGATGCCATCCATGTGGTCACAGCATCGTCCGTATAGGATTTATGTATCAGTTGTTGTTCTTGTAAATGGCTTAATTAGCCCATAGCTAATTGTGTATTCCTGACAGCTGAATTGGGTAAACCCATGACGAAAGTCAAGGACGGGGGTTTGCTGGTCTTAGGGGGTAATCATCCAGAAATACCCCTGGCGTAAGATTTGGATGTGGCTACATCTGCTGCGGTTTATTTAAAGGTTACATACCCGGTGGTATGTAATTTAAAACGTGTTTTACCGCATTTGTAGTTTGTATGGAACCACTGAATAGGGCGTCGTAAAATTATGTCTGTCTGTAAATATTGTGTAAGGAAGAGCCCTGAGCTATGTTCTGTCAAATTGTACGTAAGTCGCTGACAGGTGCAGGTTTTTTTTTCTGTTTTGTTTAACAGAGTTATTTTGTAAATCCTTATTAAACCAGAAGATTTCTTTGGGTACAAACAGACCAGAGCGGGTCCATGTCAGCATAGGTTTGGCTCAGGTACGGCTCATTTAATACATGGGAAACCGTCAGTTTGCCTTACAGCTTGGTTCTTGGTGGCAGTGGGAAAGCGGCATAGGTCAGAATATAACCTAAGTCATCCAGATTGTGCCGCCACACCCAGTTTGGCAAATTTTATCAGCAGTGGCATATTTTTGTTCATCAGAGGCAGTGGACCTGGGCTTTGTGTTGCTGATGGAATTTGGCCCAACTAGTTGAGGCCCCCTTACCTAAATGGATTATATTCTTATGTGATTGTACCTTACATCAGTGACACTAAAACGCTTGGCACATATCCAGCTCCGCCTCGTTTGACCTCAACTGGCCCAGTAAGAACTTCGCCTCCTTTGACTACAACTGGCCCAGTTCCAGCTCCGCCTTTTTTGACCTCAACTGGCGCAGTAACAACTCCGCCTCCTCTGGCTACAACTGGCGCAGTAACAACTCCGCCTCCTTTGGCTACAACTGGCCCAATTCCAACTCCATCTCAGCCTCCAGGTAAGCTGCAGACCTAATAACTCCTAATATATTGCATTACGGGCTTGTTTAAATAAAACAAACATCATACTTATGAATTCTAAGCAAAATTTGAAAAATACTTATTAATGCCATAACAGTGCCATTCAATTTTGCATCTCCAGGACTGGGGGCTTTGAATCCTCTCTCCCCTCTCTGTGTAGAGATAGCATGTTTTCCTGGTGTCATGTGGAAAATGCACACAACTCCACCAGCATTCAGGACAGAATAAGGGCAGAGAAATAGCGCCTCTCTTTTCCCGTTACAGGTGTAACGGTTAGGGTCAACTTGAATCTCAAGCTCCGGGCTCCAAGTACCACCAACATGTACGAAGTAGACAATGCGATTTACATGGTGAGTACTCGAGCGCTACCCCCCCCACAGACATACCAACTTAAACAAAGAACTGTCTGGCCAATGCAACATCCTCTCAGATGTGACTTTAAGCTCACAGGCAGACACTGACCTACCCAGGCTCAGGCCACTGTTTTGATGTTTGCAGAGACATTTTTGGAGTCAAAAGCTAATACCAGCAGGGTATCATTCAGATAAATACTGTGATGTGAGGGATGTGTCGGAATCACAGTGACCCCTGCTGATGCTACTATTTCTGCTACAGGGTGCTGCTCAACTTCAGCAATTCTTGCAGCTCTACTACAACGTCAGGAGCCTGAGGATCATCGACATGGAGGCGGAGGATCCTACAGAGATCTATTATTAATATCTCATTATATCACACAATGATTTCTTCCTTCTAAAGGCCAATTCGTACTTCACTTTTCCACGTGCGCTTTTGGTTGCGGACGACAGGGCATGACATGTATTTCACCATCAGGGGTTGGCAGCGGACAGCTGTGATCGCTGCACGTGTGGCCCAGATTTTTATGTGTAGTGGAAACTTTGCACATCCATGCACATGGACCGTGTGTGTGCATGATAATTGATTAGATGTTTCCAGTAGATGGCAGCACTGACTTTCACGCATCAGGGCTCAACGACAAAAGAGTAGAGGAAGAATAGCTGCTGTTGTAGCAGTTTTAGTGAGCAGTTCTATCAGGAGGGTTAGAGGTATCTGCATATCTAATTTTTCATACTGTCTAGACATTATACTGAGGTATACAGCATTTGAAAAAGCCACACTGCTCTGGCATTTTGAAATCTTGGCCATAAAATTCGCTGAGCCGGTGAGGGGGGTTGGGGTCCCAGCTAATTTTGTCATAAGGATTTCAAAATACCACAGTATGCCTTATCACTGTAATACCGCTCAATCTAGAGTAATAACTTTAACGTTTCCCCGTCTCGATATACTGCTTGTATTTGTGTTTGTTGGAATACATCTGCCCTCTCCTGGTGTGATGGAATATCACTGCTGTTTGCAGCACCGAACACGACCATCCGCATCCGCAGCCAAATATAGTATGAACACGAGCTGGTTACTAGCACGACCGTCCCCAGCTAGAAAGTGCACGATAGTGTGCGCAGAAAGGTGAAGTATGAACTAGGCTTTACTGCATGACTTTCACAAGCCCGTTTTGGGACTTCAATCAGCAGAAATAATAAAGAAAATAAATTAATATAATGAAGTATGAAATTTAAATAATTAGCTTATCTTTTACTATTGGAGTGTAGGTGAGCAGGGATTCAGAACTTTCTGTTAACTGTTATGTGTTAATTTGGTATGTTTATTTATTCACGTAAACACGTGGGCATTGGGCTCAGTGCAATAGGCGCACATTTGTGTATATTGTGAATGAAAGCGTTTAATAAATCAAGCTAACAATGGGTAAGTTTCTCCAAATAAGAAAACACGCATCAAGCAGACTCTCCCAGCTGCGCAGCAGCACTATAGGACGAAGCGGCCAAGTTATACAGATAAGTTAAATAATACAAACTACAAATGCGGTAAAACACGTTTTAAAGCGGACATTACAGGAAAATCAATGAATGCTGCTATGGAAGATGAAGTACGGGGAAGTTGTTCAGCTGATATTGTCACTACAGGTCAGGTGGTCAGGGGAAATGGATAGTGATGATGAAGATGAAATAGGTGTTACTCAAAAGAGAGAAATAAAACTGACAGCGAAAGCCGTGGCTGCAAAAGCGGAAAGTACGAAGGGATCTACGGACGAATGTCAATAAATCGAAAGGTGAAATGAGATCGACCACAATGATGAAACTGCACAAAGGGTGAAACTTTTATTTACAACTATTTGCAAAGGTTTCTGAAATACATAGTTTGGTTATTCCTTTATGGTCTGTCGAGGAGAAAGACAAACAAAATAAATGGTTTACAAGTGTTGAACAACAGTATGAAGGTTTTGATGAAGATGTGGTGCAATGGTTAAATGAGTCTGGTAAAATGTATTTTTATTAATGAAAATAATGTGTCCGATATCAAATCAAAAATAACGCACAAGATGCGGTTAATCCTTTGACAGTGTTTCTAATACCAACAGTAAAGGTTCAAAGCGAAATTCAGCACCGTCCAAGCCGAGTCCGCTTTAATATCTCCCGTGACTCTTAAAGCAAAAGTCGAAATGGCAGCTCTTATGGCACAGCAGCGGTCGCTGAAGGAACAACCCGTTGGAAGAGGAGGGATGTTTAAAGAGAAGGGAACAACTTGACTTGGAAACTCAATAGCCATGAGCCAAGCTGTGATCCACTGAAGGGTTAAATTCATCCGCGTAGAGGTCACCGGAGGAAAAGTTTGTGAAGCAAAGGTTTCACCTACTGGTGAAAATGTGTTATTACAGGAGATGTCTGTTCGGTCTAATGGTGCGTTCCATTTGCCCTGGGAACTCGGATTCCGAGTTGGATTCCGAGTTTCAAAGCCGGAAGTGACGACATGCGCGCTCCCGTTTCTCGGAGATCCGAGAATGATCTCGGATAACGCAGAGGATCCCGAGTTCAGAATCGAAGATGGCTGCGCCCTTTATCAACAGAAGGGAAAGTTGTAGTTTTATCCTGTTTAAGCACTACTTCTCATTTCTGGCTCATTAAATCGGTCGCACACACTATACCGTCCAACTTATCTGTGGACGTGTTGCTACGGAGTTTTATACGTGAAGCACCGCGCGTAATGTGTTATCAAGTGATATGGCTAACAATGGCTACCAATTAACCGGTCTAGAATTGGATTTCATGATTAGTCGGATTATTTGTCGGATTTAAGGTAGTTCGGGCTAATTGTAAGTGAACGAAAATAAAGGCCATTTAAACTGAGGTACCTTAAATCCGACAAGTTGTCCGGCTAAGCAAAAAATCTTGCTTTTTCATATGGGTCGATGGTATTGCTACTTCTTTGGCAAATGGAACGTATCCAACTCGGTTTTTCCGAGTTTTTACCGGATGTGACGTAATCTCGGATTCCGAAAATCGGAATCCGAGGCAAATGGAATGCACGATAATGGTGCGTTCGTTTTCTCTCGGAACTCGGAAATTCCGAGTTGAGTGACATCACGTCCGACAATCTCCCGTTCGAGCTACCCACATCTCGGAACAAACATGGCTGCCTCCATGAACACGTTGCTGTGTGTTGTTGCTTTATATTTTAGCAGATTTGGAGTTTTCCAAATGAAGAAAATGGAGAAATTTAGATTTTTCCGAGAGACAAACAAGAAACACGAACTAGTCAAACCACATTAAAAGCTTTATAAAATATTTTAGTACATTCATAGCGATATTCTTTTTCGAACAGTAAATAAACTACAAACAAACCAAGTCGCCATGTTGAAATTACGTCACTTCAACGTCATAAAAGAGGCGTGTTTCCGACGGGAAGTGATGTTTTTCGTGACGTATAGTGACGTTTTCATCCGAGTTCCGACTTGGAGAGAAATAATCGAACGCACCATAATGCCCGTGCTGAAGGAGTTGAACCCCAAATCGATACGTAGTTGCATCTTATCTGGTGGCCTTTATTTCCTGGACATGTGTCTGCAGCTAGAGAACAAAGCTCACGCCCAGAAGATTAGCTTAGAGGAGAAAGGTGTCTCTTTTAGTAGTAAGGAATGTAAGGCACATTTTGCATGTAGGAAGTGCAATTTTATGCATCTACACATAGACTTAAAAAAAGACTGTTCTACACATAGATTTAAAAGTTAAAATCACAAGGCAACAAGAGGTTGTTGTTTTTGTGTGTGTTGGAGAACCCACTGAACAGTCTAGGGGACTTACTGGGGCCATATGGGAGTTTTGTGTGTTGTCCATAGTACCAGTTCAAGTCGGAACATCTAAGGGAAGTCTGTATTACTTACCTATGCTTTTTTTAGACCCTGGAAGCTCTGCTTCATTTTGAACAGACTCGCCATGGGCCGTTATCAAGTATTGCCAGAACACAGAATACCCAGAAGAGATAAAAGGTCTTCAGGAAGGTGACTGTGAAAAGGCGTAGTCACTTATGCAAGCTGAGCCCAGTACTGAAAGATGGCACATTGAGGGTTGGTGGTCATCTCAGCAAAGCATGCATGCCTGCAGAAGTTAACCATTGCGTGATACCCCCAAAACATCTTCATGTCTCTTCACTTATTCTTAAACACATTCATGAGGAAGTTCGACATGAAGGCTGCAGCTTTATGGTTTCCAAACTGAGAGAGCGGTATTGGATTCCTGGCGCAAGTCATACAATATGACGCATTTTGTTCAAGTGTGTGGTGTGTAGGAGACTGCGAGGAATTGTAGGTCATCAGTTGATGGCAAATTTGCCAAAACAGAGAATTACACAGGATAATCCACTGTTCACTAAAGTAGGAGTAGATCTTTCTGGCCCATTTCAAGTGAAACAGTGCAAAGTGTGATTAAAAAGGTGTCATCTTTATTTATTTACATATCAGAGCAATTCATATTGAAGCAGCAGTTTCATGGGACACAGATTCCTTTTTCATCGATTTAATGCAAAGACAAGTTTCAGGAATATGATCTGATAATGGAAGGAATTTAGGAAGTGCCTATTAAGGGCTGGAACAACTCCAAGATTCATAAAGTTTTGCTGCAAAGGGAAATTAGGTGGAATTTGTATCCACCAAGTGGATTTCATCATGTTGGAGCCTGAGAGAGACTCATTCACTCAATATGAAAAATACTTGGACCAATTCTCAATATGCAGAACTTGGAAGAAGAAGGTTTCTCTACAGTTCTATGTAAAGTAGAGGCTATAATTAACAGCCGTCCTATTACTAAGGCATCCTTGTAACCAAATGATCTGGAACCTCTTTCTCCAAATCATCTTTTATTGCTTAAAACCAAGCCTGGTCTTCCACCAGGAATATTTCTGAAGGAGGATCATTACATACAACATAGATTGAAGCAGGTGCAATATATAGATTTGTTATGGACACAGTGGACTAATGAATATCTACCATTACCACAAGAAAGACAAAAATTGATGTACAGAGGGCGTAAATTTGCTCCAGGTGATGTGATGATAGTGGACGATTCAGCTCCATGTGGTTAATGGATTTTGGCTAGAGTCATAGAAACTAGCAGTTTTGCAAGGTTTGGTTCGTCAAGTTAATGTGAAGAAAAAGGCAGGAGTCTTGGGTAGGTCTGTTACAAAAATATGTTTACTGTCTGAAGGTCAAGAGGCTGATTAGATGGAGAATGTATTGACTGATTGATTGATTATGTATGATGGAAATAAGTAAGGTACTACTTTTGTTTATGTAATTATGGTTCCATTGTCTATTGATTATGTCAGTATGGCTCCATTGTAATAGAAATTGTAATTATTGTAATTAGAGGCCAATATGTACAGTAGGAGCCATATTTGTGGGTCACATGATGTGTCACATGGGTGGGGTAAAGGGTAAATTACCTGTTCACAGGTGTACACTATTGGAATGTAGGTGAGCAGGGATTCAAAGCTTTCTGTTTACCATGTTATGTTATATGTGTTCTGTTATAACTGATTGTTTTAAGAATACACGGGAAGTATGGCTTCACCCATAAAGTTGCCAAAAGAATTGAGTTTGTCAGTGTATCAATGTAAACTCATTTTGTGATTATTTTGTTATTCAACTTACTAATTTAACCGTGATACTGATCGCTTTACAGAAATTGATTTCGACAACATGTATACGCATTCATTTTCCCTTTAAAACCAGTTTAAATACAGCCCATAGATGTGGCTCCGTGCTTCACTGGAAGTAAATGGAAGATTCATGCATGCTTTGGCTGTGTCCAATTTAAGGGGCTGCATCCTTCAAAGGACTCAGGCTACACCTTCATAGACTGCGTTCTTCAAAGGTTGAACAGAAAGTGTTGTCAAATAGGACGGTCTGGCCTATGGATAATTTCCTATTTGTGCCACCAGCTATTGCCTTGACTCATGAAGCACCACTTCCTTCGTCTAGCCGAAACACTCACTCTACCTTCACACAATGAATCTTGGGATATATTGGGCTGCGAAGGATCTATCAGATGGATCCATTTCTAGACAGCATTTGCAGGGACCTTCCAAACGGGACAGCTTTGTCGCGCCGCTGTGATGCATTCAGTCTTTGAATGCAGCCTTAGAAGTCTGCAGCCGCTGAATTGGGACACAGCCTATGGCTACATCCCAAAACCCTCATAGGTGCCAGCCATTGCTACTTTTCCTTCGCCCTGGAAGTTTTTCCAACTTCCAGATGATGAAGTGCTGTCCCAATACCTTAGGAAACGAGTTATCAAGGGCCAATTTTCGCTGAAATCACTCCTTCACCAGGGGCAAAGTGGAAGTCTAGTTGAGAGCACCATTAGCAGTAGAGGAATTCACCTTTAGTGACACCCACGCATGATGAATGCACTGGTTGCCTGTATTATGTTAATTACTCAGTTTAGGTCATTGTGTGTCCCATCCATCCATCCATTCATTCTACTGCTTATCTGGGGTTGGGTCGCAGGGACAGCAGACTAAGCAGGGATGCCCAGACCTTCCTCTCACCAGCCACCTCCTCCAGCTCCACCTGGGGAATACCAAGGTGGTTCCAGGCCAGCCGAAAGATATGATCTCTTCAGCATGTCCTAGGTCTGCCCCTGGGCCCCCTCCTGGTGGCCCTGCCCGAAACACCTCACCAGAGAGTCATCCAGGAGGCATCCTAGATATATGCCTGAACCACCTCAACTGGCACCTTTCGATGCAGAGGAGCCAAGTTTGTGCCCTGAACTCCTCCCCCTATATCTAAGGCTGAGCCCTGACACCCTGCAGAGGAAACTCATTTCTGCCGCTTGGATCTGCAATCTCATTCTTTCAGTCCCTACCCAAAGCTCATGACCATAGGTAAGGGTAGGAATGTAGATCAACTAGTACAGCGTTTCTCAAAC